GCGTTGCCTGACACCTTAGCCCCTCAAGTAAGCCTGTGAATGCAGCTCTCGGCATCATGGGTGCCCATTGGGACTTGGACAATCCATATGGTTGTAGCTGAACAGCATAACATGCCTTGTAGGGTTCGGGGAGCACGTGGTGTCCACCATCTTGAGTGCGATGTAATGTCTGTAATAATGCCGTGCTCCCTCAACTTAATATGGGAGCCTCCAGAGAGTGGACTGGTCTGGGAATGGGTGGGAGGATGGGGAACCACACAGCCGCACCACAGATGTGGAGGTTGGCCGGCAGCTAATAGAGAATCTCAAAATCATAATTCACTATAATATGTAATCTTATCATACATCTCAGAAAAAAATATTAGAAATAATAAGAAAGAAAAAAAAATAACAATAAATAACAAATATGAAAGTAATTCAAACAGTGTGAGAGGCAAGGGATCCCAAAGAACAAACAATGACTGACCCTCAATGTTTCGGCAGATACGCCTTTGTCAAATGAGCATGCAGCTATATTTTTTTTGAGATGTATGACTAGATTATAAATTATAGTGGTTCATGATTTTGAGATTCTGTATTAGCTTTGGTTCTGTTTTTTTGATGATATCTTTGTATATTTTATTGCACTCTGTGACTTGTGTCACTTTGTTATGCATTCTATTCATATAAATGCATACTTGTACTTTTGTCTATACATTAAATTAATAAATATATTTTTTTCCTCTTTATGGGATATTCTCCTTAATTTATTCCCAGATTATGAGATGTTCCAATCTTTATTTCTTTGATGGAAATTTCTTATAAATTGTGAAAATGTTAGGTTATAGAAGACAAGAAAAAAATATGACTTCCAATCATACTACTATTTACTAACTAAAATTATGAAATTAATAAATAGATATTATAAAAAGTATAGATATTAAAGAGCCCATAAGGTGGAAACATGTGTTCTTTCCTATCCCCTGTAATCACAACGATTTGGCATACTAATTTGGAAACATTACAAATTAGATCAATGGGTGCATGTGAATTATTTTTATTGCACTACAATATAAAATTGCATATTCTACTGACAACCAGCAAAGACTTAATACATACAGATTTGGGTTAGCTGATCTATATGATAAATAGTCACCAGTAGTTTTTTCTACTGTACACTATTTCCATATGTTATCAATTTTCACTTTTAACAGGAACTATGCTTACTTCTTACATACCTTTGCTTTTCAATGAATACATTTACCATCTTAATTTACATTCTGAATCCAATAATGGCTTATTAGATAAGTTTATTTTGGTAGTTGTAAGGTACGGTGAGAAACAGTTGCAAAGGAACCAATCTTATGTGATTTCCTATGTATTAAAATTAGTTCTGCTGTCTAGTGTCTGAGATTCTTTACATCCAGTTTATATTAACTGAATTAATAATGGATCTCATATGTTCGAACGTCTCGTGAAAAGAGATTCAGATTTCCGTAAGTGTTGAAAGTTGATATATTAATGAAAATTACAGTGAAAGATTTTCTAATTACCCATTATTGTTTTGACTGGAACAGAGAATATACTCATTCATTGTGGGTTGTTGTTAGACATGTGTTTCTAAACTGATGATTGCCTTATGTTTGTCATAAAGAATTAACTAGTAAAAGGGGTTTGCAAGTTCAACATTAAAGCAAATTGTTTATTTTACTTTGGGCACAAAAATGTGGGTTGGCTGGATGTGATATATAGCTGACTCATTTAAGTTATTTGCATTAAAGACACTATTGCAATGAATACCAGGTGGGGTGTAAATTATGTTTTAGATATAAAATATCCCTCTATCCTTTGTCATACATCAATAAATATAATAAAGAATAAATGTATATTATTTGATCTGTTTATCAATTTTAAGAAAGCATCATTAAGAGTATATGTCTCTCTAATGCCTGGAATTTAAAGATGAAGTCTTGGCACCACAAGCACTATAGACGATTGTAATGGTTATGGTTCTAATAGGTTGTGGGCGGTGCCATCCTTTGTCGAATGTGCAAGGTACCTGAGGCATCCATAGCATGGTCCCTCCTTCCTTACATTGCTAACTGGATGTGTATTTGTATGTGCCTCATCATGTATGATTGGCAGTGTGTCTCTAGCAGAGTGTGTCTCTGACAATGTGTGTCTGACAGTATGTGTGTCTCTGACAATGTATGTATGTCACTGTGTTTGGCTGTGTATGTGTCTTAGACATTGTCTCTCTGACATTGTGTTTAAGCTGCGCTTGTCTATCTGTGTGTATCTAACAACTTGTATGTCTGACAAAGTCCATCAGGCAATGTGTGCCTTGCTATATGTATTTTACACTGTGTGTCTGGTACTAAGTGTGTGTTTGATGATTTTTGTCTGTGTATGTAACAGTGCATGCCTGACTGTCAGTGTGTGTCTGACAGAGTGTATTGCTGCATGTGTGTCTAACAGTGTGTGTCTGGATGTGTTTGTTATTGTCGCTCTGACAGTGTGTGTGAGTCTAGCAGTCTTATATGTATGTGTGAGCATGGTATGCTATCTATGTGTATGTGCCTGAGAGAGTGTGTCTGTCTATCAATGAGTATCCTTGTGTGTTTATCTGTTAATGGGTATCACGTGTATGTGTACATGTGTGTCACAAGGGGACTCGAGAATGTGTTTGTAAGCAACCCCAAGAGGTCTGATAGGTGTCCTCTTCAGATACCCCAAGTTTTTGCCAAACTAATTGAAAACTGTTTAACACAGAACCAAGAGACACAGCCTGCATTATCCTAACCCCATGACCACTACAACATTCATGGAATAACCCTTTAATTATCATATAATGGGGCCCTCTTGTTTTACAAAGTCAGTGCAATTACATGCAAATTGCTTGCCTCTTAACAATGGGTGTTATATTGCCCATACTTTCCCTCCACTTTTTTGTGAAAGGAGCAATGGTTAAATACCAGACCAAAATGTGCCTACTCCTTCCTATATCCCTTGAGATATTGCAATGTAAAAGTAATAATAATGTGGATAGGACTGTGATTTTGCAGTCTCTTTTCTTAAAATTGCCCAACCTAATAAATATTAGATCCTATACTCTTAAGACCCTGTTTTATATATTAGCCATCAACCTCCCTAAGGTATAGTGAAGGAATAAAAAGGTTCTGGCTGCTCCATGAGTAATTTCTGTGAAAACTGCACTCTTTGTAAAATGAAAATTGAGGACACAAGCTGAAGTGCTTTAGGGTTCTGGAGTGTCTTATTAACATTAAAAAAGCTATTTTGCTAGTTTGTATTTATTCTTAGGTGTATACACCTGCATATCTACATCCTCGGGGAGAGCGGAGGGCTTTGCCAGGTGTGTGTAAGCCATCCAAGGCTTCCCAAACAGAGCAGAATACAGAAGAAGGTTGCCACCAAGGTGGGCTAATGGTATCAGTGGATCCATTAGGAAGGAGATAAGTATGCCAAAAGCACAATGAAGATCCATAAAAGGTGGGTAAAAAAAACACTAGTTTTGAACAATATGCAATAAAAGTAAAAAATCTACAGAGAGTAAAAAATATGATGACAAGTTCACTTTAATTCTTATGGTTGGACATTTGCCCAAACTATGGTCCTCATGAAAAAAGGATTTAGTGTTTATTGAAAGTCAGTGAAGATCAAAAAATTTGATTAAACAGTGAAATATTGAGGCATGACTTGCTGAAAATAGTAAGTTATTGAACTTACTGTGTGCTAGGCATTTGTGGTTTCCAACATCTGCCATAGTCATTCAATCTCAATAAACTTGCTTAAGAATGCCAGGTAATTTAATGAAAATTATTGAGGAATAGCTAAATTAATATTTGCCTCTATCAGTTTTTCATTTATTTAATCTTATCTAAATATAGTAATGTAACTGAGAATTTAATACAGAAAACCACAGAAGAGTAAATACTTTACAAACTGTTTTTCTACATTTCTTTGCAAGTGAGTAATTTCGGCTGCAAACCCTATTACATTTCTATATTGCTACAGGCGTATTTATCCTTACTAGTTTTATATATTTTTTTTTTATAGTTTTATGTTTTTGGGGTTTTGTTCGGTATAGTGCTAGTATTACACATTATAAAACATTATTGAATGCCTTTAATTCCCATCATAGAATCACATTTTGGGGAAAAATTATTTAAAGATGAATTAATTGTTGCCGGAATATGCAAGGAAAGTCTTATTTAAATACAGGATTACTGAGCATTAATACAATTGTAGTTGATTGCAGTGAACAAAGTCTCATCACTTTAGGATAGATCATGATCCTGGACTACAACTGAGCTAACTCAAACTCTGTAATTAATTCTACTCACGTGAACACATTTTTAATTATGACACATATTCTCAGAAGACAGACGTGTTCAAGGCGAAATTTCGGTTTGGCCAGATCAGTTTCCCTAAACTGATACATTTGTGCTTATTACGAGCTTTTGAGTGAATCACTGTTTAGGAAGTCTGTACTAGAGGCTGCAAACTCCTAACTATTCCTGTTTTTATATGAAATTTATTTAAAATAATTTAATTTGTTTCACTTTATGATCATTTGGAGTGCAGTTTTTGTTGACACTAAAATGAAACAAAACATATAAACCCATACTGCCATTATGGGTCACCAATAGGGATCTTGGTGCCATTCATCTATATACCACTCCAGCTGACCGCAGTTGGCTTTTTACAGAGTTAAGTGATCTTTGCTCTATAAAGTGGACCGTGTCAGATTCAGATAGAAGGTGAGGTCAGAGCCTTCAAAAGAAGAAAACATCTTGTCCTGTAGTGCTGTCAGGAAAAATCTCTTATCCTGTGAGAGTGAGCAGCGGACTATAACATCTCTCATGGCAGGGGTTGGTGGTCTAGGTCTGACTTAGGCAGACAAAATATCCTATCAAGAGAAAGCTTTTCAGCCTGAGTTGGGGGTTTTTGTACGGTGATGTTTTTTGGTATGTGAATTGAATCCCTCATAGAAGACATACCCTCCTGTATATCCACGATATCCTCCTCCAATGTATGCACCCTATCCGTGACCACCTGCAGATTGGCCTCAATCACCTCAATGTCAGCTGCCAGCAGTTTCTGAACATCTTTTAGCAGATTACGAATGTCTTGCTTGGTGGCTGGACCAGTCCCATTAGAGTTTCCAGGAGATGATTGCTCTGTTCCCTGTGGTAAGAGCTGCTGGGATGGGTCACCCTGCATGAAGCGCTGTGGCTCCTTTGAGGCTTCCCAGTCTTCCAGAGCCGCCATCTTGCCTGGGCATGCCACTTAAGTAAGGCCCCGATGTTTCTCATCTCGGTTGGGTGTGGTCTTTTGAATCATCTCCCCATATTTGGGAGCTATTAAGCCACAGTATAGCGAAGAGTGGGTTCATGGTCCGAATACTCCAAGATGGGGCTAAATCGCTCATTCAAGCAGAAGTGTGGAGGTAGATGGGAAACTGGAGGCCTTTGTTCCTGATGTTTCATCATATAATTTAGAAAGAACCGCATGTATCAGATCTATGTGACATCCGGAAGTACACAATCTATCTCCAAAGGATGGGTAGGGTGTTCCCTGATCTTCAAAAGGTTTAGCAGATTGTCTCTGGAGCTGATAAAGTTGGTGATTGCTCTGTCTTGTGGTCCCATGACTGAATTTAATTAATTCGAGGGTCTTGTAAAAGTTGCTGAGTTGATGACTGTTTCCAGTTTGGCTTTTTTGATCTACAAATTCCATGGTTATTTGCACACAATTCTGTTTAGTGATTATTCCTAGTGGTCTTAAACCACTAAAAACTATCCACATACATGCACAAACACACCAAACACACAATGTGACATATCACCCACACACAATTCCACAAGCAGCCCCCATACACAGTCCACATTCATAGGTATCATACACAATGCCACAAACTACTCATGAATATATTCTATACAACAATAACAGTCCACATAGGCATAAATACAATCCTATAAAGCAATTGAAGTACCCACAAATAACACAAGCAGAATATGGCAACATACACATGTCAATTTAAAAAAATTGTTATGGCACGTCAAGTGACTAAAAAATATCAATTTGGCACAGTCCTACTAAAAGGTTGTCTACATCTGACCTAGTAGTCCAACAGTGGTCCTGATAAACCACTAAGTAGATTTAACCCCTGCAGGACCACCAGGGAGTTTAACTCATGCATCACCACAGGTAATTTTATCCCCAGCTAGACTCCCAGGCATCATTGCGGGAGGGGTGCAAACCAAAGCACTAATGAAAACACATTTCACACACATATTACACACAGCCAGCAAACATCAAAACCACAAACTGCACACATCCAGCAAACATCACACACACAAATTGCACACTGCCACCAAACATCACACACATTATACACAACCAGAACAAACCATACACACCTTATGCCCAGCCAGCACACACCACACATACATTTCACACAACCGGTGCATGCACACATTAAATAAAGTTAGTGCGCATCAAACACAGATTGCATCTAAAAATGAGCTATAACAGTTGCATTAGAACATCTCATTATGAACGCATACAACTACTATGGACTTGCACAGAGGCGTAACTAGAAATCACAGGGCCTTGGTGCGAAAATTGTCCTGGGCTCCTCCAGTATGTCTCATTCCTCCCCACAGCCCCTGAAGGTGTCATATTCACACCCCCCCCCCCTCCATGTGTCTCATTCATACCCAAATGGTGAGTGTGGCATGGTTGGGGGGATGAGTATAATAGAATTGGAGGGGTTAATGTGACAGGGTGAGTGTGGCAGGATGATAGGGGTGAGTGTGACAGAGTGATGGAGAATGAGTGTGACAGATTCAGGGGGTTAAGTGTGATAGTGCAAGAGAAGGTGAGTGTGATAGGGTGAGTATGGCAGAGCAATGGGAGGTGAGTATGGCATGGGTGAGTGACAGGATTGGGGAGTTATTGTGAGTGTGGCAGAATGAAGGGGGTAACAGTGTGTGTGGTGGGGTGACACTGTGTGGGGGGTGACAGATACACAGACACACAGGTGCAGACACTGACACACATGCAGATAAACAGACAAACACACACTGACATACATGCAGATAAACACCATATAACACATACAGATATATACACAGACACACATGTACACAAATTTAGTCACTCTTCTGTTTCCTACCTTTTAGGTGCAGTAGGATAACTTCCCTGGGGTCCAGTGGCTGACTCAGGATGATGGAAGTCAAAGCTCCCACTTCTCCTCCCGCAGAGCGCTCTCCTTCTCCCAGTGGTTGCTGGGAGGAAGTGACCACTCAAGCCTCATCACAGGGGGCCCGATCACACTATTCAAGGTCCACAGTGATGCACATATAGACACACAGATACACAGACACACATACAGATACACAGCCACTTTCGAGCATTCTGTAAATATAAAATGTGTTTAACTCGTTAAGGACACAACTTCTGGAATAAAAGGGAATCATGACGGAATATTTCTGTCATGTGTCCTTAAGGGGTTAATGCTGAAAAATAACGTTTGGTGTATATGTATGTAAATGCATGTGAGTCATGAAATGTGCAAAAGTATAACAGATGTAAATGTCACCAAATCTCCAAGTCCCAAATCCATCAAACTGCGTTTGTCTGCTCTTCATCTAATATTCACTACTCTCCAACCAGAATCACTGTTGTTATTATCCCTGTATCCTGGCTTTCATAAACAACACTGGCACAAATGAATAAACTCAACCAAAAATAATGAATACACTTATGAAAAATACTAGACTCGTGATTTGGATTAGGACGAATTGTGAATTTAAGGTAAATTCTGTATTTCTCAAGGACATACAACCAAGCAAACGACTAGCAAGATGGCTGAACCTATTAATTTGATTAGGTATTAGTATTTACATTTGTGGCTCTAAAATAATGGAATAATTGATGATTTATGGGTAAGGGACAACCACTAAATGTTCATCTAATTTACTAATCAAGTGAGAAGTGACCAATAGTGGGAAAAGGAAGGATCAGTAAATTTTTTCAACATATTTTATATATATATATATATATATATATATATTATAAATAAGAGAGAGATAAAGATATGTTTTACTGCTATTTCCTTCTTTTGATTGCTTTTTCTCACTTGATCTGTGAAACAAACATCCGGTACATGTGCCTATCACGGTACTGCAAAATATATACTTAATATTTATATGTAGATATTATTCCATACACTAATTGGTCCATATTTGTGTCCTTTTTTATTTGTCTGTACCTTTTCTCTAATATTTTTCCTTGGACAATATCTGACCGAATTGAACTATCACATGAATGAGTCATCGCAAACAAAATTTCCATTTTGAGAAAAATTATTGGCTGAACCAAATTATCCTGCCAAGCACAAGTCTAAAAAAACAAGACTTTACATAAATTAAACCTTATGACAATGCAATATTACACAAAACTATATAATGCTTTGTTTAATAATATTACACTAACTTATAACAGTAAGACAAATGTACATTGTATCATAACAATGGCCTAGTGTAATGCTTTTCTATGTTCCTCTAAGTCTTTCCCAATCTTGTGTAAATTGGCGAAAACTGTTGATGTGTGAATATTTTTGATGACAGTTCATTTCCTGGTAAATAGTTGGCCCAGAGTATAAGAAGCCTTTCTCAAATTAACAGGGAGAGAGAAATGTATCTCTTTCACATATGTTAAATGACTCCTACATTTATTTGGCAGATTCCCAGACCGAGAAATATAAAATTATTTCATTGATATATTTCATAGATGGCAATTTTTAGAGATTCTTTGCACAAATCATCTCTAACAGAGAATGAACTATCCGTATCTGCTTACGTTCATGCAGGGAAAAGGCAACATTTACACCAGGAATTGATTCAGTAAAAAAAAAAAAAAATTTTAACTTTATTTTTAAAGGCAGTGAATATGCAGATCTGTAGGAAAATCATCAGGGGCACGGAGACCATTTTATCAAACTAAGGAGCAGTTTAGGGAGCCAGGTGGTACAGAGTGGATGTCATAGTTACATTCTAATGGGGAAAAAACTTTCATCTATTTGGAGCTAAAATATAAGATGCTGCTTTCTATGCACTTATAATAACCAATATATAAAATATTAGGACCATTCCTCTGGCTGTCCCGACCATCTGCCAGCAAATACCTACCACCTGGCACCTGTCACCCACTGGGCTCCCAGAATCCCAGTTGCCTACCGCTCTAAGGGACAGTGTTTGGCGCCTGGAGGGGGTCGTCTGATTGTAAACCTTTCTGGCATGTCATGCTCCAGATGGGTCACCCCACTGTAGATGTTTTTATTATGCATGGAACAGTGTTTAGGTATATATCTGCAGTCTTTAGCTTTCAAAATTTACTCCTGCTATATTTTTGCTTCTGTTTATTAGAATGTACATTCTTTCTTACCTAGCAAAAAAAGTGGAGCATTAAAGACATGACTAGTTATTCTTAATGGCTATGCAAAATCTCTTTTCAATGTCTTTACTCAGCATTTAGTCAAAACACTGCACTGCAAAAATAAAGCATTACAAAAAAATAACTAAATATAAAACTTGTCATTATTCATTGATAAGAATTATAGGCATGAGGGGTACACTGCATTGTTATGTGCACTCTGATAAAATGATTAGGTAATCTTTACCTAAAAAAATTCTAATTTAAAAAACAATGCACAGAATACACATTTCATGTGCCAGGTATTACTAGGAGTATACAGAGATGGTTATTTTTTTTTTATCTTTAAAAACATAAGATACAAAACAAACCCACTACAGTCTGAATTATGGCTTTAGGATCCTTAGTTGAAGGTAAAACAGCTGACTTCCCCTCCAGACTGCTTGGCAAGGGCATGGTGACTACACCAAGATAAGTTGGTGATAAAGAATTTGCTCTTTTTTTTCCCAATTCTGTAGCCATATCCCCATTCCTTTTTGGAAGCATCTCTTATCACTGATTTGGTGCCAAACACTGCTACTATCCTTCCTATTATTTGTTTTGTACCCTGACACTTGTTTATGCTTCTCTGTCTTTTTAGGAATACAAGCTTAGTTTCAATATTTTCTTTGAGAATTTAAATTTGTCCTAATGTGATGGTAAAGCAATGCCCAACAAAATACTGACCATACACATCTAACACTTTCTTGGTCATCCAGTAAATAAAACAGATTAAGATTAAGAGGCCCATTTGGAGCTGACCGCATTAAAGTATACATTTGAGGAGGTTT